GTTTATGTGACATAAATTCAAATGTATCTTTGCGGAGAAAGGATCAAGCAATTACTAAACAACATTTTTTAAAAAAAAGCACACATTGTAAAACAAAATATATTTTTTTCTATGCTCAAAATCTAAAAGGTCAATGAGGATCTATCTCCCATACTTGCCGTGGGTAGGCCCCTTAGGGGGAGCAATTTTTTTTACTGGGGCTTAGAGGGCTCTAATTTTTTTTTGCACCAGGGCGCAAAATGTCTAAATGCGGCACTGAGTAAATTATCATTATAGTGTGTGTCTAGTGTATACTGTATACTCTCCTACAGTCCTACCATAACCCGCGAACCGCATCAATTTACAATACATTGTTATTTCTTATCTAATTTATGGTCGCACGCACGCACACTAACAAGACATTTAATGTCTAGATCAAAATATTCAAAACTAATCTATATGGATGTGAAATAGCCGTCGCACTGACAAAAATTAAGGTACTTCTAGTGTTTCGATTTAAAAAATGTAAAGATGTTTGTGTTGGTAAACAAGTTTACTTTGCATCGGTCAGAGCACATTTTCAATTTTAGCAAATTCTTGACGAGAATAAATATTTTACATTTTATAAAATTATAAATTTTTAGTATTCAAGTATTGAATATATTCAAAAATATCTAAAATATAAAAAATATGCTCGGACCGATGCAAAGTAGACTTATTGACCAATTAAAACATCTTTACATTTTTTAAATCGAAGTTTATAGAAGTACTTTAATTTTTGTCAGTCGTTAAGGTCGTTTTGATGAAAAAAAATAGGGGAATACAGAAATTTTTATACAAAACCAGTTTCTGACGAAATGGATTTTGTTACTTTATTGCAATTATAAAACAAATAATATTAGATAGTTGAAGCAATACATATATTTTCAAAATAATTTTACTTTTTCGAGCCAATTATATCTGAATATTTGAAATTTCCAATATTATTATTTACTTTTTCTTTAAATATTGATAAAAAATTAATGAAAAATCACAGAAATGTGCAAATTAAATTGTACTTATTTGTAGTTATTTCAATTTTTATAACAAAGTTTGAAAATGTAATTCAAAAATCCTCATAAGACATATTAAGTAGACCTTACTGAAATCTAAGAATCTTAAAAATATATTGGTAAGCACAATTGTTTTTTTTTTTATGTAGACATTTGAAGGTTATATTTTGGCGGAAATAGATAGTTCAAATATTAAATGAAGAATAACGATTTCTTATCAAAAGATTTTCTTATACCTATATTGTTGTCATATAAAAAATAATAACAGTTGTAGATAGGTAGGAACTTGCCATTTTCAACAAATGTTCAAATTTGAACTATATCATAGATATTTTAAATTTTTAACGAAGAATAACGATTTTAGTTATTTTGTTATAATTCAAAAATATTATTTTTTGGGCATTGCAACTTTTATGTACATATATATTGTATATTATGGTATATAATATTATGTAGTATATATGTAGTATATATATTATGGTATATTTTTATATTTTGCTATACATATATACTGCAATGAAATTTTAAAAATATTTCGATTAATTTTAAGTTATTGCCTATTTTTAGTTATTTATACCATTAGGTATACTATGAAGTATGAACCTATATTTATATTGTTCATACCGATTTTCTGTAAATATTGACTCAAAAAATAATAACAATAGGTAATAGGTATATCAATAAGAAATAGGTAATGGTTACTTATTAATACATAATAGGTATTATTTATGATTCATACATTTTCTTTAGTCCGCTCAGAATCGTTTTTTATCGAATGCAATTATTGCTGTAATAGTACACTATCCTATCCGAGGACCGAAAGGACGATAGATGGACGACTGGACAAACTTCCACCACCGCTGACCTACTCCACCCCTCTGCACTTAACCACTATTTTTTTATGGTTATAATTCTTATGTTTTACTTTTTTGTATGACACCATTTATTTCATATTCTGAAGCAGAATATTATAAGGAGTATTTCAATCTATAAAGATCAAATTTCGAACAAGTGGTTCATTAGTTATAACTTATAAGCACTAAGTATTAAGTTAGAGCCTGCGGGATTTCAATGTTTTTTTTGGGTGATCTTAGAGTTTAGACAATGCTTTCCAAGAACATAATTTGTTTTATGAAAAAGATAATTACCTTAACGATGAAACTTTTATTTTGAATATTTTGGTTATTTTTTAATTTTTAATGCCAATTTGTTAATATTTTGGTGTATGTTTAGAATTTTATTGCATAATATAGCTCTAAAAGATATTGGTGTCTCCAGTCAACATCATTGTCAGTTGTCACCACAATCAATTTATCAAATTAATTAATCAAATTTTCATACAATTTTAAAAATTACAGATTCTTTTTAATAAATGTTGACAACAACTCCCCTCATCTAAACTTTAAATACTTATAAATTATAACTAATGAATTACTTGTCCAAAATTTGATCTTTATAATATATTGATATACCGGAGACAATGGTGGGCAAGTTAATGAAAATAATTAACTGTGGAAAGTTAAGTTAATTCAATTAAATTACCTTCAGTTAAGTTAAAAGTTAACAAAAAATTAAATTTAACTAGTTAAGTTAAAAGTTAAGATGGAAAATAAAATTAACTTAACTCTGTTAAAAAAAATTAACTTTTTAACTTAACTTTAACTTTTTAACAAGTTAATGCCCACCATTGCTACTCCGAATAATATTCTGCTTCAGAATGTGAAATTAAAATGGTGCCCTGCTGTACAGTAGGTTACAAGTGGGTCACTGTATAATAGATGGTGTTAAATTTGAATTCAATGATATAATATCATTGTATAAGAAAAACGATTGTGAGCGGAGATGATATGTCAGTCTAGGTATAATACAATACATATTATATACCTACTTATCTATATAGTATTAAAAAAAATTGACCCATAATAAATTCCAAATTAACCATATCACAATATCCATAGGTACTTATAACGCGTTATACATCAACAACAAACCCTGATACTATCATAGATATATAATAGTGTATTTTAGAAGACAGAAGTTGCAAGTAGGTACACACGAATAATATTATACAATCATAACAAAATAACTAAATTTTGTTATACTATTTTTAAATAGTTATTCTAGGTTTTATATTATGTAATTTCGTCCAAATTTGAACTTAAAATGACTATAAAAATAAACTGTGCTTATGTATTTTTTAGATTTTTTGGTAACAGAGTTAACTACTTACGTGGAATCTTGTTTTAAATTTTCAATTTTTAGATATAAAAGTTGAACATTTTATAAATTATTAGCTACAAAATATTTATTCAATTTTAAATTTGATAAAAATTTTGTCAAAATTCGATCATTAAATGCTTATAAAAAAAAATTGTGCCTAAGTATTTTTAATATTTTTCAACTGATATTGTAACAATATGTATATCAGGAGCTTTGTATTAAATTTTTACACTTTTTGGCCCAACACATAAAACTTTATAGAAAAAAGAACTAAAAAAATTGAAATCTGAAAATGTCCGTAATCAGCTCAAAAAAAGTCAAAATATTTTCAAAATTGAATGGTGTATAGGAAATGCTGATATAAACATTCAGTAAAATTTTCATGTATCTACAGTTATTCGTTTTTTTACTATTGGAATTTTAAAATTTGACCTCCTGAATGCACCAATTAGATTCACTTTCCCATCGAATAAAATACTGTTGAAGAAAATCGAAGCAGTTTTACTGCCCCAAACCGTGATGACAGACACAAAAATAAAAAAATAAAAAAACATACATCATTGTAAAATCAATACATTCATCATTCCACTCAGAATCTAAAATGTATAGTGTCAATCAAAAACTTAAAAATTATACTTTTAAACTATATTTAAATGGCTATTTTTAATTTAAAATTTAAATTATTTTTAAAAAACTTACAATTTCAATATAATTTATATTAATATGTATGGATGGCCATAAAATTTAAATTTGATTTAATAAAACTAATAATTTTTTTCGAAATATTATTTTTGGGAATTTCCTAACATGTGAAATTACCAATTTTGTTTGCGTTTTTCGGTGACAAAGATGATAATATTAACTCCTGGGGCTGCAGGGGGTCAAATGCCCTACTTTAATAATAGACGGGGACGAAACGTCCGCGATTCAACACACCCTAACTAGAAGCATACAACTCTCAAAAATTTAAAAATATTGTCTATATTTAAAAATTCCAAAAATCAGAATTTGAACAAATTCGTTATTAAAAGAAAAAACGGGGATGATTATGCTTTTTGAATCAGACAGGATCACCCTGATGAGTGATATTACCAGTACGGCAGTACCTACCTATATTTATATACCTACCTAAATCATATTTTACCTTATGGGTACATTTAACTTTAAATTTTATAATTAATAAATAATAATAATAAATTATTATATAAACAAAGTGCAAAAATTAAAAAAAATTTTAAACTGGACATTTTTTCACTAGCAAGGGGATTTTTTCCAACGTTTTTTTTGCCGTTGTTACTTGTTGTTGTTGTTATTGGTGTCGTCATGAGAACATTGAGAACCGTGATAACATGTATCCATAACGCATGAAGACTAGAATATTCTAAAATCTTCATGCGTTAACGGAACAATATGACGTCATTGTTAACGCCAGCGCGGGCTGAACGACTGATAATGCCGTGATTCAGCACATTGACGATAATGACTGTGCATAGACGCACAGTCGTGTACGACTGGGATTGTGCGAATTGCGCGTATTGGCGTAAATAATTCTCTCCATTCATCAGTCTCCTTCAGTATAGGTATAGTCAATAGTCACGAGAGCTGGGAAAGTGGGAATTCTCAGTTGATATACAAAGCGCGCAATATCGCTGCACAGTCGTACAGATTTATTGTAGCAACGCCGAAGTCCGGTTCGTCGTTCTACGAGTTTCTTTGTTTTTCGTCTGTAACTTTTCCGCCTTTGCCGTCATGGAATTGCCAAACTTGGGTCAGAACTGCAGCAAAGAGACGTGCAAACGTTTAGGTGAGTAACGAATAACCTTTTGGAATTCTTGGGGATGGTAAAAATATGAATCCTGGACCCTGGTTTGAATGCAGAATGCAGAATATAGGTCTTAATTTTGGTTTCACTCCTTTGCTCAGTTTTACCGTCGATATTTGTTAAGCTGAAGCTAATCCTTCACTTGTGGAATGTAGAACACACCATCAATGTCCGCCAGAAGTTTATGAAATTGTTTAGGTTTAATCGTACATGGTTCAATTTTGCTGCCGAGTGTCAGTCAAAAACTCAAAATCAATTACCTATACTTATTCATTGCATTTTGAAAATATTTATGTGTTTATACTATATAATATACATTTTTTTGTTCAAAATAAGTACAACAAATGTCTAGGTATTTAAAATATTCTTATAAATAGAACTTCAGATTTGAGACTTAATATACCTAGCCCGACATAGGTAAATATAATAATATGTACTATTGTGTTGCTAATTTAACAGAGCATATCAAACCTATTACATTGCGATTAAGAACTTATTTATTAATCTATTAATTGTTAATGAAGCTTTTTATAATTCTATATATATTTTATTAATTTAGATTTCCTGCCAGTTAAATGCGATGCCTGTTCAGGTATATTTTGGTAAGTTATACTCTGGAAATATTTTGTTTATATATATTTTTTTTTATCTATGTATAACTATATAAGACGATTCATCTCTGATGTCGCAGTTCTGATCACATGAGCTACAGCAGTCATCAATGTCAATCTGCATACAAGAAAAATGTACAAGTTCCTATGTGTCCTTTGTGCAACAAACCAGTACCAGTACCACGGGGTCAAGAACCAGATTTTACTGTTGGGCAACACATTGACAATGACTGTCGGTTTACTGAGGGTAGAAAGGTATTTATTTACAATTGCTAAGATGCTAAGATTAGTTTATTATGACGTACAAATGATTGTTTTTATAGGTGTTCACAAATAGATGCACTGTAGCAAAATGTCGAGGCAAGGAAGCTGTACCTTTGGTATGTAGCGAGTGTCGTCAAAACCATTGTTTTAAACATCGTCATCCTTTGGATCATAGTTGCACAGGTAGTGCTAAATCTGTTCAAAGAAAAGTGACGTAAGTAGATATTTAATTTCATGCCAAAAATAAATTTAAATATAATTCTTATTTTTATTTTCTTGTAGGGATGTTAAAAGTATATTTGGAACCAATGGAATTATAAAAAAAGCTTTTACTGCAACTGCAATACAGGGAAATATGGTAATTTGAAATAATAATAATATTTAATATTTAGTAATACAGTGGACGCCGCTTATAAAATTCACTTTGGGACCAGCACAAAGTGAGTCTTATAACCGAATCAAAACCAGTAATGACCAATACAAATATGTAACTTCAAAACCAATTTATTTCTAAATGTTAACCAACAGATTTTTCATTTTTTTTTTTTTAAGAAATTTGAGTCAACTGAATTTTTATAATGTGTTTGGATACGTCCATACCGTTCCATAAAAATTTGAGTCTAATGAGTGACTGAACCTTATATCCGTGAGTCTTATAAGGGGTGTCCACTGTAGTACCAATTACACAATTTAATGTACAAATATCAATAACCAAAAAGTAAATAAAGCCACATACTAATTTTTTTTTTTAAATTATATATCCCTATGAAAAAACTGATGGCATTGAGGTTTTCCTTAAAAAATATAGTTCATAGATTTTACCCAAAAATATTTTATAATTTGGAAGACCACATTAGCTTATCTATTGGAGAATATTATTGAAAATTAATTTCAATGAGTTTTTCCCACATTATTTAATACTGGGATTCAATTTTTACAACATACATATAGCTTGAACTTTAAGAAAATGTGTGACATAAGGAACTTAAGAAATTTGCTTGAATAAATAAATAGATAAAATTGTCTTATTTCTAATTATGTCAATACAAAAAGACAATACCTATATTATTATTTACTTTTAATACAGTATATAAAAAATATATTTTATTAGAGACAGTCGCCTGGTGACGATATACATTTTGTATTTGACGATTACATTAAGTATATTTTATTTTAAATAAGTATTGATAAACTCTTCTAGTTATACTAAACAATACAATATAATGAAATGTAAAATATTTTAAACATTTTAACAATTTCCAACCATTTATTTTGACTATAAAAAAAAGTATTAATTATAATGAGTACATATTTACATATTATAAAATTTAAAAGAATTTCTTTTTCAGAGTGAAGATGAAGCATTAGCTAGAGCATTAGCTGAGTCTGAACGTTTGACTAACGAAAATACTACTAATTCTCAACCAAGATGTTCTGTTGCATAAATTGTTTATCATTGTTAAATCAGGCACAAAATCTATCATGTTTTATTAATATTTTTAAGAGATTATTTTACATTCCAAACATTTATTTTATGTACTATGTGAAATATTTTATTTATATGTTAATTGTGATTGTGTATTTTAAGCAATACCATTTAAAATTGACCCAATTCATAGAATTAAATAACCAGAATTCTGAGGTAAAAAAAACTATCCGTCCTTGTTGGTGTTCTTATTTTAAACTTAAATTTATATCATATATTAATATGAATAAACTTGTTATTTTATTTATGTTTACAAATTTCAATAATTATAAATCTAATTTGATTCTACACAATGTTTTGATCTAATGGATCTACATATTATATAGATTTTTTTTTTCACAAATAATAAACTGGTAATTAAATTGCATTTATAGTTAACATTTATTGTATATTAGGCAAGCTATTAATGGAATCTTGAAGTAAAAAACTTAATAAAACTTCCTAGTTCCTTCCCTCTGATTATAATAAATTAATACGATTTAGGTAAACATTTTTAAAAAGAATACAATATTAGCTTGAGTGAAGTGGAACCATTCTAAATGAATACCTATCACATATCGCTCATGTTCCCAAGATGGTATTGTTGTTACCAAGTTGGCTGAATCGTAACGACACAAATCTGTTTATATTTCATTTTTTAATCATGGTTTCAGTGAAGAAAAAAAAATGTGTTATTGATAAACATAGTAAATTATTAACAATTTTAAACGATTAGAACTCGCTGCCTAATATAAGAATTTTCTTAAATATTTCATATTTTTTTTTTAACTAATCTCAGCTTCACAACTACGATTAGCCCAAAAACAAATTGTTTATAGATATGAACATATTTATGGCACATGAACTTTTATTAAAACTGATTACAGTGTTTTGGCCTATGTTCTAGAAAATATTCGACTTCTTTGATCTAGAGTAAATAACATAATATTATATTGGTTCTTTAAGAGGATGTCACACCCGTAAGTGTTGTCTCAATCTTACAAATGTACAACATAGAAAACATACAAACATATTTGTTGTAGAACTACTAAATTTTCGCAGCACGTAAAGAAGAACTTTATCTGTTTTTTTTTTTGAATGGCACTATCCAATCATTTTTTATAAGCAAATAAAAAAACAAAATTTTCAGAAGCAAATGACTCATATTTATGTTATCTAAAATATAGGCTCGCTGTTGCATAGATAAAGTCCTTCATTAAGTGTTGTGAAAATTTGGTAGTTCTACAACATACATGGTGTGAGAAAAATTTCCCTGCACAAAACAGTTTTTGCTATGTTGTAAATTTGTAAGACGGAGACAACACATGCGGGTGTGACGTCCTTTTAAGAGGATGTCAGCGCACCATTTGTTTTCTCTCTCTGGCCCACACGCAGCATAAAAAAATTCATTAACGCAGAATCATTTTTTTCTGTTTCTAAGTAATCTTAGAGTAAAATCACCAATTACAAAAAAATTAGAGAATAATATTTTTGAGGGAATGACATCAATTTTAAATTTTATTGTTATTTGACTATCAAAAAAAAAAACAAAAAAATGTTGTACTTAATGTTTAAATTGTTTTGAGATAATGTTTAAACAAATAGATATGACATTCCCTACATTCGTTATTAGTAAGAAAATAATGTAAAGTAGAAATCAATTCAATATTAGTTCATTATTTTAGATACAAAAAAAAATGAAATAATAGTGCCAATAACAATTAATTCTAAAAAAATACAATTATACAGAAGAGAATTTAAATGAAGTGATGATAATTGATAGATATGAAATATTATTTAATCATCATGAGTGACTATGCATAATAAATAAGTATACATTTATGAGAAGTTTTTTAACTTAAAATAATTAGTAGCGAACGTGTTAAAAATGTATATTATTTTTATTGAATTAATTTCTGAACTATATTATTAAAAAAAAAAAATTATTAAAAATAATAATTTAAAAACTAGGGATACTAACGACCTTGAATTAAATTTTTTAATGAAGACATAATGTTATTACCTTTTGAACTATGTATCAGTATTATATACATTGATTGTATATTTATGTGCTCATTGAATATTGTAAAATTAATACTCGAAGATACTTCCAGTTGATGGCAGCAACAATAGCAACAAATAACACTTGTTTCATCAACTATTTTTTTTATTGATAATGTTAAATTGCTATTGCTTTCAAAGACGAAATGGACACGGTACCTTGTTAAAACTTTTTACTAATAGTCAACTGATAATTACTTACACTCTTTTTGTAAGTAACTTTGTATTTTAATTGAGAGTGTACTTTATATAAATTCTTGAAGTTTAAAAGGTTAACTTTCGATACTTCAATTATTTAATAAATAAAACAAGATTACAAAGACGTCAACCACATATATTTTACCTAAATTTATTGTGTTCGTTATAAAATGTCCAATTAAGGTTTATACATTTTTTTTTCAAATTATTAACATAGACTAATATGCTCTATTAAAATAAAATATAATAATAATTGTAATTCATGATAAATGTACAAGACAAGTATAATATTTACAAAACTCGTTGTTTTTTTTTTTTTTTTTGTACGTAAAAACAAAAATTACATTTTGCAACTACATATTAACACATAATGTCTATACTTAAGAGTTTATTCCTATAAAATAAATATTGTTATTAAAATATTTCATTTTTTTTGTTTTTTATTTTTGGCTTTTAATTGTACTGATGTAAAATGTATAGACAAATGTATTATATAGGTAAATACAAATAAAATAATAATTCATTAAAAAAGGAAAGAAAAAATAATGCAAATCTGGGCTCTTCATTAATATGCTAATAAAGATTAGAGTAATTAAAAACATATTTAGCAATGTTGAGTAGATACTAATCTTTTTTAATAGTTTGTGGAGCTTCTGCAAGACCTTTGACCTAAAAAAAAAAAATGGGTGTTAAAAATAAATGTAACAAATTAATAAGGTTTCTTAATAATACATGTTAAATAAGCTATTGTTTTCACTTTTAATTTATATTAAATTGAACAAAAGTATATACCTGATTAAATTTTTTAAATTAAAATATTTATTATATTCATGGTTTATAACAGAAATGATTCCTAAGTTTAATATGGAAGTTCACACACAATTTGCTTTATTTTTAAAATGTACAATTCGACAGTGTTATTTAATTTGTGAATTTACACATACGAAATATAAGAGGAGAAATAACATTATTAAGAAGTGTATTATAAAAACTAGGGAGAATTTTTTCTATGGACTATAAAAAAATAGGAAATATAGATATTAATTCAAGTAGTCAATAATATCATATATTATTGTATATAAACATTTAATAATATAATAACTAATAGTACCTATAATATAATATTTAATGTTTTTAGCAATAAATAGTTTTATCTACTTATGGTATTAAAACTAGAAAGAAATGGCTTATAGTAATATACCTAACTGTATTAAATAAAATATATCAAAAAATATCTTTAGAAATGGTTATTGACGAACCATCTATGCTAAGAATCATGTTCTGTATACAATAATTAGTACCTATCCTTTATCTCGAGTAGCACCTGTAATTTTTCTGTTATCTCAACTACCGTCCGATGCCGCAAATTCTGTAGTTTCTTTTGTCATCAGCTGATTTTCACGGTATCAAAGTTTATATTCGATTAACTGACGTTCAAAATTATTTTTATTACTTTAGTTTATTTTTTAGTAGGTATTCATTAAAACTATGAATCTCTTGGAATGTATCCTAAAGTAAAAACTACAGCCTTAAATTCTATCAAGAATAAGGTTTACTCCCAGACACGGTAAATTCATAAATAGTCATAAGATTTTAATTATAAAAACTGTATATTGGGAAGTTTTCCTACACAAAAAGGATAATTTTATTTTATTTATTGGGCTGGCTGTAGCGACAGCAGGCGGTAGGTGAGATAATGGAATTAAGAGCCTCAGTAATCAAGATAATGGATAAGTAATCGTTACTTCCTGTTGTACGAGACTACCATCCATGACTACTTCCGTTATTGCTACTACCAAAACAACTGAACAATATAATTTTTTTTTTTTATATAATTTGAATACGGCCATCCTCATAATTATTTATTATTTTATTTGTGGATTTACCATTTTCAAGTTATAGTAATAATATTATTGTTTGTTATTATTTTATTGTTTTCAGTGGCCGTAATTTTTTTTTATATAATAAATTTGAATGTGGTCATCCTCACAATACCTTAATACATATTAAAAAAAATATCAAATAATTAAATACTATTTGAAAAAAATAAGGCAGTCTGTAATAATAAGAATGTGTGCAAATTTAGGTAGTCGCGATAATAGCCTTAGTCTCATATAACAGGAAAGTACCAAGTAATGGTGATCCAATGGTTCATCACTGAAATTAATTTTAACACTTCTGTGGTCTAAGTCCAATGACTAGGTAGGTACACTTAAAACTTACTATTCAGCATAGTGACATCTCTGATTTTGTCAAAATTATTTATCAAAATATTGATTTAGATTAAATTTAAAATTTAAATAATATTATTAAGTATTATAATTTAAATACTTTTTCAGCTTAATTACATTTAGGTACCTGCTGACAAAATTATATAAGTAGGTATTTAAGAGGTTACATGCTATGATAATTAATTAGCTATTTAATAATAATTATTCTGAAATTTATTGCTACAAACTTTCTCTTTTTATAATGAAATAAAATTATATGAAAACATTTTAATGTACCTTCAAACGATCAGCCGTTTTCAGAAAAGCTGGCAGTTGTTCCTGGCTTATGTTGACTTCTCCTGCGTACATAAATTCAAGTATTGACTGCAAATGGCTGAACGGTACATCTTTAAGTATTATGATTGGATGTTTTGATGGGTTTTCCTAAATATGATATTAAAACAAGTGTAAATTATTCAATTTATAAACTACATATGTAAATATAGGTACCTACCTACCTATACTAAAATTATACTTTAAAAATTGTTATTATATTTTGTCTACTAATGTCTACTATGCCAATACTATTTAAATAATATAATAATTACTTTTTTAAACTTATAGTCAACTTAAACAAGCTTAAACATAAGTTCAAATACTTATCGGTTCAAAAAATCTTGTTTTATTAAGACTATGTTTTACAAACAGTTTGTACAACAATTTTCGTTTTGTTTGATAGATATTGAGTTACCATAAGGTACCTACTTAACTAGATTTAAAATTTTGATGTTTCTCCACAATTATTATAACTACCTACTTGTAAAGATAAAAGTTAAAAACCTAGATAGTCACAATCATCAACAAGGAATTTCATAGGTATACATTATTAATTAACTGCGTATAAATTATTTATAAAAGTATAGGTGGGACGATAATATAGGTAATCTAAGATAAAAATAAAACTGATATTAACAGAAAAACCATAGGTATATCTTATCTTAGAACTCTGAAGGCTCCAATTTCTCACGACTCTGGTCAAGACAATTTGTAAAGAACCGTACAAAATCATCATAATATGGAACGCATATTGAACAATGTTGACGTTCATATCTATCGAACCCTATCAAACAATTCGATCTCAAACCATTACAATGTTACGGACCCAGGACTAAGACGGACATCATCAAACCATAACAACACGATTGAACCGGGTTCTCTCGATACAGATTCTCTGCAAGAATCAGGCGAAGTTTCGCCTCATATGACAGGACTTACCTCTAACAATGCTTTGAAATAAGGGCTGCAGGCTGATAACACCATTTTGTGTGCCTTACACGTTTGTCCTTCGCAAGCAAGTGTCACGTCCGTGAAGCTCTTCTCGTTCCTCAGGTGTTTGAAGGACGACACCATGTTGCTCTGGTAGTCGTTCCATTTCAAGAAATATTGCTGTTGATCGGCCATTACTACATTGGTAAACAATCAATCGCCGACAGTTAGAGTAATTACGATCGCGGGTCGCTCGTTCCGCGACATTGTTATTATTGTGCGCCATTATTATTATAATTACCTTATTGCGGTTCGATATCGCTGACAAAGCGGACGGCGGCGGCGTGCAGTGGTCAAAGGATCCGCGAGCACGACAACAACTGATCGTCTGTTTCTCGCCGTTTGTCGCCGAACGTCACTCGATGCACCAGAACATGTACGAACTACGAACTTGAACTTGAATAATGGACGACGCGCGATAACGTAATATCCAAATCCGTCGGGGGCGCGCGCGACTGTGACGACGACGTTGGACTCGGACGTGTCTGGTCTACGGCGGTGATAAAACCGTGTCAGAAACACATAATAATAATAATAATATTGTATATATATTTTATTATGTATAATAAAACATCAAAGAGATAAACAAAACGCGAAAAACGTTGACCCGACGTGTTGACGTGCGTTACGGTTTCGGTGCGTGCGGGTGCGCGTGATCGACGGCGCGTGTTTGCGGGTGCGCGCGCGTTATTTTCTGCCTTGGACCGACGTAGGCGGCGTATAATATTGTATAGGAGTAGGGACATCTGTTGTCGAGGACGGGGAAAGCGTGGCGGCGGCATCGCCGAGCCGGTCGAAGGCGCCCGCCGCCGCAGGTAGCCGTAGCGGCGCGTACGGCGCTTACCTGTCGTTGGTGGTTCTTTACAGCGCGGCAGCGTGCGAAATCGTGACGACTGCTTACACGCTTGTCGTTGGGGGGGGGGGGGGCTGCACTGAGGGCCGGGCGGCCGACTCAAAATTTGTGTACTCGCTCGCCAAGGGGAGCCTTCACTCAATCACTCGGCATGGCCGAAATAAAAAAATACGAACAGTAGAGCTCAATAGGTCAGTTTCCGAAGGAGCGATATTCGTTCGATTTCAACAGTTTTCGGGTGACTTACGGTTTTTCCCGTAGAAAATTGCTTTATTATCGTCGTGTTGGCAACACTGCGGTTTTTATCACCGCGGTCTAATTTCCTTTTTCAAATTTTTACAATTTCGTTATTGTACCATACGTTGTGACTTGACCAGTTTTAACTTGTTAATTGTCAGTTGTCATACATTGTCTGTTGATACATTTAAGTTTCAAGTATAACTATATAAGTTAAGTTCATATTTTCATTTTCCATGTCAGACTACCGTCAGTGACGTACCGACAAATTTGTAAATTTCGTCATATATTATAATATAATATGGTCCTATATAATAGATACCCCTAAATATATTAAACATATTATTTTATGTACACAATGTCCATGTCTATGTCATAGGCACGTAATATTTGGGAAAATTTCAAGTTCTAAATCTCTAAAACCTACTATCTACGTACAGAAACTGGTCGCTGGTAGGTAATGCCCGCTGGTCGTTACTTACACTGAACTACCAAAAGTAATGTATAGCAATTAAATCACTTATTTAATTAGGTACCTATTCACTTTGAACGCCATCATATAATTTATTATAGGATTCATAGTAGTGGTGAGTGGGTGGCAAGGTGGACATCTGCTCCTGTTTGATTTTAAAACCAACTCGATGGGCCGCATAGTGGTCTGAAACGCAATTTTATGCGGCCAAAACTATACATTTAAAATTTAAATTTTTATGTTGTTTTAAAAAAAAAATCATTATCTACACATCCTAGGATCTAGGGACACATAGGGAATACTTTTACAGAGTTACAGCCTTCTTAATTTCACGAAAACAATAGCATCGTTCGTAAGATATTTTCTTATTTTTATACCTAGCACGTCGCATTTCGTTTTTTTTTTAGTGGTGCCCAAATTATAAAGATTTCCTGTATAGTTTCCCCTTGACACTGTATATTATCTATTAACAATAATTTCAAATCAATATTTATGTACTACCTATATTTTTAATATTTTTGTAAAACAGTAACAGTAAATAATAAATTGTGATAACTACATAATTTTTCAGCCAGTAAATTGTATTTATTGAAATTACTGCTAGTTAAGACTTCTGGACCATCGGACCATATCTCCTATCTCAATTACACCCTAATCAATTATGAAATTACAATTATTTGTATTCACTTGAGTAGGTTTTAACTCTGAGTGATTTGAACTAGAATAAGAATAGCTCTAAACAGGAAGACTTAGATCGATAATTTCTTGTAAGTAATTTTTTTTTTTTTTTAAATACTTCATGTACTATGGACGTAAATAAGGGCAATTTTAGTGGATAGCTATACCTACTTGGTATTAATTGTTTGTACCGTGTGTTGGCCACAAACACAATAATATAAGCAAACGTACACTAGTCACTAACAAGTTATTCATATTTATTATTATAATAAATATTAAATAATAGATATGCTGGCTCACTAGTATGCTGCCTAGTTATTAATTTTCTCATTAATAGGTACCTATTTCAATTTTGTTCAAAATAAATTTGTATAATACATCAGCTTTTACTTTAGTTAATAATATTTATATTTTTTCGATTACTGTAATAATTTTTATTTTCTAAAAGTTTTTCTATATTCCTTTTATCTTTTTTAGTTTCATTTCGTTCGTAAAGTATAAGTTCTTTTTATTTTCAACATAAAGCAATTACACTTTTTAGATTCATCAACAATGAATGCAATTATTAACAAAGGATTATAACTCTCAGGCCATATAGGTATCTGAAGACTAAAATATTTTTATGCACCTGCCACCTAGTACCTACAATGTTTCATCACCCGTCAAGCTTTAGTTAAAAGTTATTAAGTCCAAGTGATGATAAGGAATTACTATTTTGATATAAGTCTTAGTCGGCGAGTACATAAGTAAGCTAAACTTTAGATGCCTAAACCAAGTAAGATAATTTTATGTACTAAGTGTTTTGTAAAATGTATTTATTTAATATTGTCCCCCTCATCATTTCATCTCCACACCAAACGTCAAACACAACACCCACTATCGCCGGGCGGTTCCATTTTCCTCCGAAAACGAGATACCGTTTTCCTCCACTGTCCATTTTCCTCCACAAAAAGAAGGTTGGTTTCCATTTTCCTCCACATTATTTTAGACTGAAATGATGTCTATTTTCCTCCAATATTTTAGCCAGTGTTCCGTATTATAAAGATAGAGTAAGGCCAGGATCCAGGGCTTGCAAACGTTATAATAACGTTATATTTGACAAAAAACGATTGAAAACGATAATCAAAAATAATTAAATACCACAAAACAAAACATAAATATTAATAAATATATTATATATCATTAAATAAAATATAACGCAAAACGTTATTTATAGAACATCATTGACCGAAAAATAACGCAAAACGAAATATTATAAAATCTATTTATTTGAAAGGCCTATTGGTTTTGTAGAAACATTTATTTCATGCGACAATCTAAGAATTAATTATATTATATTTCGTATCCGGGAATTTACCTAGAAAATAACTTATTATTTTTAAATTTTATAGGTATTAACAATATTTTAAATAACGATAAACGCAAAACTTGTATAATGTTTTAGTTCTGAATAACGATAAACGCATAACTTGGATTACGTTTTAATTCTGTACAACGATAAACGCAAAAGTTGAATAACATTTTCATTCTAAACAACGATAAACGCAAAAATTTCGTAACGTTTTAGTTGTAAATAACATAAAACAGAATTTTAGATTCTGAGTGGAACGATGAATGTATTGATTTTACAATGATGTGTGTTTTTATATTTTTTTATTTTTGTGTCTGTGTACACGATAAGTAGTCGAAATAATGCTTAGATTTTCAACTTCAGTATCTTGTTCGATTGGAAAGTGAATATCGTTGATGCATTGAGGAAGTCAAAATTTAAAATTAGCAATAGTTTTCACAAACGCCTAAATCCCTACATAATCTTAATACAAACCCCAAAATTTTAAAAGCCTTACAACAAATATGCTCAATGTGGGGTCTAGGATCAAGATCACTACTAAGAATAAATCCTAGATCAGTTACACAGTCATTAGAACATGAAATGGCAGTAGGTCCGAGATGATAAGCATATTTGAAAGGAGCCTGAATCCTGGCAAAAGTCATGGTCTCACATTTAGAAAAATAAAGGGATAACCCTAGTAAATTAAACCACTCCTTGGACCGATCAAAATCACTCTGTAACAAAATACAGTCATCCAAGGAGGATATACGAGAGTAGAGCTTAATATCATCTGCAAAACATAAAATCTGGCTATTGGAAAGAACACTTGATACACTATTAATGAATAAAGAGAACAGGAGCGGAAATAGGTGACCTCCTCGAGGAACACCGGACGTAGCAAGATAGACATTAGACTTTTTTACTCCAAGCAATTTGACCCATTGGTAACGGCAAGAGAGGTAAGACGAAAACCAGGATAGGAGAGGTTCACCGATTCCAGATACGTTGAGGACCTGGACTAGGACATTGTGATTAACTGAATCAAATGCCTTATTGAAATCAGTATAAATGGTATAGACCTGTGTTTTCAAATTAAAAGATTGGTAAGGTCAGGTGGGGTAACAGCGACGTGGTTTCGCAAAATCTCAGTTTAATGGAACATACCATCTTACTGTATTCTTACGTGGAACATAGTTTTTTATCATTCATTAATGAACGTATTAGGAATTCAAATTTGTATTCAAAAATGTGTTTTGATAATTTTTAAGTTGAAAAAGAATTATTAAAAAAAAAAAGTGTAGCACTTTCCCTGCTACCGGGGTAAGTGCAAAAACCGGTACTTTTAATGCAGTTGTATACAAGCTATTCTTTGGCCGGGACAAGTGCCATAAACTTATGAAAATCTTCAAAGAAACTCAGTTGAAAGAATTCAATTATTTAATTTTATCAAAATTTGACATACCATCAGTTTTTTTTTAATTTGTAGTTAATACATATTAGTTTTTTTTTAAGTTTTGGTTGATATAGTTTAACACATAAATATTCAAAGTTTAATTGTCAAC